CCCCGCCCCCGGCGCCCCAAAAACAGGACCCACAAAGCCACTGGCAGCCAGCCCTCCACCACTCCCCAGGAGCAGTCTGCCAGCTCCCAGGAGCCTGACAGGGGCTGGAGAAGGCAGGCGCCTTCCTGGTCCAGGGTGGAGATCATGGACCTTATTCAGGTTTGGGGGGGATGCCCCCAATGTCCATGATCTCCGCACTAGACGGCAGAATGTGGCCGTCTATGGCAGGATAGCTGCCAGCCTGACCACGAAAGACCTCATGCGAACCCAGGAGCAGATTAGCATGAAAGACAAGTTGGTCTGGCGAGCCCCCCAACCCTGAGCCCTGAGCTTCCTCTCCCCCTTCCTCGCCTTGCTTCTACCTTCCAGCTCCCTCCTCCCAGGTTTCCCGCTCCCCTCTCCCACCTTCTCTTCTCCCCTCTCTCACCTCCTTTCCCCAGTCTCACAAGAGTTTCACTCCCTCTCCCCCAGTTTTGATAAATAAAGAGAGTTTGTGTTCATGAAAATATATGTATTTTATTTGACATCAGGAAGGAGGGTTAGGTAGGGGTAAGGGTAAGGACGTGAGGGAGGAATGAGGCACAAGCACCCAGTGGGGCACACCAGGGAGGTTCTTAGTGCTCCTTAGGGTGGAAGCTCTCCCACAGGGCCTCCTGGATACTGACAGCCCCGCAATGGACCTCCCAGATGGCAGCCTGCAAAAGTGCAGCCAGGCTTGCAAAAACATGTCCAAGAGGAGCAGAAGTGGGGATGATCGGGGAGGTTCTGAGGGCTTCTCGGGGTGGACGCTCTCCCTCAGGGCCTCCGGGATCCTGACAGCCCCCTGATGGACTCCCTGGATGGCAGGCTGCAGTAAGTGTAGTCGGGCTGATGGCAATGACCCCACAAGATGCACCAGTGTGCCCAGGGGCAGCTACATGTGGCCAAGTGCTGTGGTGTCCCGAGTGCGGGCACTCAGGGCACTCCAATACAGGACTGCTTTGCTGTCCCTCATCGAGTTAGACAAGCAAGCGGGGAACCCTGAGAACTGTCTGTCCGGGGTGCAGTTAGGGCCCCTTTAAGCACGGAGTGCAGTTAGTCTCTGGCAGCAGCCCCACACACTAAGTCCTAACCTGATGCGCTGCCGGCACTGTTTCCAGCCAGACTTAACTTCGGTTCAGGGTCCACTCAATGTGGACATGCTATTTCAAAATAGAAAAATGCTATTTTGAAATAGTTAATTCGAATTAAGCTAATTCAAAATAACGCATCTATACACAAAAACTATTTCAAATTAAGTTAATTCGAAATAGCAGTGTAGGGTAGACATACCCTAAGACTATTCATAGATCACTGTCCTGAGCATTGGGCCATCAAGTTTCTTGAGTACTACTAATGGCCTTCACTTAGCACATCTAGATTAGTAAAGGGATTTACAGGCAGTCCCCGGGTTACATGGATCCGACTTACATCGGATCCCTACTTACAAACGGGGTGAGGCAACCCCGCACTAGCTGCTTCCCCCCAGCAGACCAGGGAGACGCAAAGCTAGCGCCCCCCCCCCAGCAGACTAGGGAGACGCGGAGCGGCTTTTCTCAGCAGACACCTCAGCTTGAGAATAAAGGACTGAGGGAAGTGAGGTGTGGGAGAATAAAACTGAGCTCTGAAGAAATGTTTGGCTAGAGTTTCCCCTACAATATGTACCAGTTCCGACTTACATACAAATTCAACTTAAGAACAAACCTACAGTGCCTATCTTGTACGTAACCTGGGGACTGCCTGTATACATCATATTGCATACTTCAAATACAGGAATAATACATGCACACAAACAGAATATATACATTCAGCAGATTATACTCTTACCAATGATATTTACAAGATGTATTTAGCATAAAGCATCTTCCAGCTATGCATATTCATATTCATAAAAATATGGGATGTAACATCTTACCTCTTCCCTGATATTACTGACAAATGGTTGGACACTGTGAATGCAGTATGCCTAAAATTTCTGTTTAGTATTTGTTACACATACACCCAGTGTCATTAAATCTTGGTATGTCATTCAGAGGTGTTTTTTTCCATAGTTCTGAATTTCTGTCCCTTTGGTGGAGTGTAGAGCTGCCCCCTGAATGCAGAGAGCAAGTTCTTTAAAAAAATGTAAGGTGTCTTGGCATTTCTCCATGAATGCCATGAGTCAGTGTGCCTCAGTTTCCTCTTCCACACCCCATTGTGCACCTGTTACACTCTTGCTGCTGTGCCCTTTTCTAAGCCAGTTGACAGGTATTAGTGCAGAAGCTGCTCATTCATGGGACACTCTTGCTCCTATCCCTAGCAATGTATCAATTCCTTTGTTTTTGACCCATAGATGTGCGTTTTTCTACAACTAGCAATTTTATGAGACAGTGGCATTTCCAAGTATGATTACCCTACCACACCTTTTGTTTAAACCATTTGGGTTGTTTAGTATTCATTGGACCATGCAATACCTCCATACTCCAAAGTGAGCATTTAGCTACAGTTTCCTTTTCTTTTAGTAAAGGTTTTCAGTTCGTGTATGTTTCTATGGTTTAGGGGAGGAAAGGGTTTCCAATTGAGCTGTACCTCCTCCTGCTCATGGCTGAACTCATGCAAAATATTTACTCAGACTACAGAAGATCCTTTGTAAGCCTTATTATTTGCGTTAGACTTTTCACGCCCCCTCTCCAGGTGACTCATTAACGTTTTCACAGACACTCACTGTCTGTAGGATTTTTATATCCCTGTCCCAGAGAGGCAATGTTCGCTTTTTATATGTGTAGCAGGAACACTATCTGGCAATGGTGTGTTCTGGATTAGTGGGGTTCCATCTGCTGCCCCAGTATCGGTTCTCAACTCAGTCAGTTTCACGGCTCCCAGGAGTTCACAATTCCCCCTTAAAACCTAAGGACATGTGAGCAGCCTGGGATTACGGATGCAGAGTCAGCACTCTCCTCCAAGGCAAATGCCTCCTCCCTGCAATAGGTGAGGAGACCTTCCTGCATTCACCCTTCTGGACCTGTTCCAGCCAAGACAGACCCTTCCCTGGTAAGCCTTGTTCCCTTCTCACCCTTGGGCTGAACCCCAGTTATCAAGCCTATGGAATCCACAGTGGCTTCTCCGATTTCCACTTCTTCCTGAAGGCCTCTCTCCATACATCTCTGTGATCCTATGGCTGGACCTGTCCCCTGCTGATCTGCCACCCTTGGGCACTTAGCAGCCTGGATAGCCTCCCAGCTTCTAGGTCAAAACACCTTCGTCCCCCCGGGCAGAGGGACAAAAGACAGGAGCTGGCTTCATCCACCCCCACCCTTTGTGGTCAATTGCTTTGCCCTCCTGGAGAGGAAATAAAGAAACTCTCTAAACTCCTCAACAGCTTCTGTGGCTTTGTCCTCCCCAGCATAAGGTCCTTCTTGCCGCTAACAATCCTTGGGACAGTCAGAGCCATATCAAAACAGTCAATTCCCACAATAAACCATTTACATTTCATGGCACAGCAGCAAGTCAGGCAAGCCTGCTTCTGTTCAGTTTACACCTCTCCTTTAGCCAAATGCATAAGGATTTTATTAAATCCAACCAATTCTGCCATTTTCCCAGGGAGAATATTCTCCTCATTAATTAGGTCCCTCTTGACAAAGAAATTTCCGCCCCAGTATCCCTCCATGTAGGGATGACTTGGCCATTTACGCTGACAGCCTTCATGTCTTCGCTGCTTCGGTATAAGGTAACAGGTTTTACAAATGCTGTAGGTGACCATTGCCCGAGATGCCTCTGTCCTCTGGGCAGCAGCATTGCCATGAGTTACCTACTGCTTGTTCTAGTCAGCATGGGGCGTTTGTTCCTCGGGTGCTCAGTGGAATTACACCAATAGCACCTTTTGGGCTTGTCTGTATAGGAGACTTGGGAGGAACAACAAGGGAGTGAACTTGGGTAGGAAAACACCCAGCCTCCCAGATCCACCCTTCTTCTTCTGAGGACTAAAGCGGGGACCTTCTCTTCCAACAAATTTAAACTTCTCTGCCTGTAATTTACCCCTACCAAATATCTGTGACTGCTCAAAGTGATCAGCACTGGAAGCAAGAGCTTCTGCTGATTCCACTTTATCCCATGAACACTGGTTTATATCATTGCTAGTAACTGTTCCCGAACAACCAAATCACACATCCCTTCAAAGCCTCCAATACCTTTCCCTTTGACCCATTTATCTAGCAGACCTCTCATTTGGTTCACATAAGCAACATTACTTAACCCAGACCCTCCCCACTTCAAATTTTACCCTGATGGTTTCCGTGTAATCTGAAACCGTTTTAAAATCAAATCCTTAAATGTCCCATAGTTTGAAGCATCACTAATAAACATCTTATTCAATATGTCCAGAGCTTTCCTACTCAATTTTGCAACCAGAATGGTCATCTTCTGATCCTCAGATTTGAATGGATGATGTACAGTCTCTCAAGGTGCTGAAGTATTTGGTGATGTCCTCAGACTCACCATATGATGAGCACAACTGCTCCCACTTGTGGATTTTTGGAGAGGTAGATTGTGCTATACTGGGATGTGGTCTCTTCCAGACCAGTACAGCCAGTTGACTTTCTCTTGCCCTCCTCTTGAGCAGCTGTTTGGGCCTCCTTTTCCTTCTAGGACAGCATTTGGGGCTTCAAATTTTGTCTGTGTAAAGTTCTTTCCATTTCAGGGCTCTTATGAGCAGCCTTTTGAACTTTTTTTAAAGTTGTTTCCATTCCCGGGCTAACTTCTGGGTTTCCAATTCATTCTCCTTCACTGTTAAGGCTTACTCACAAGGAGCTTTTTCCCTGGCACTTTGCAATTCAATATCCAATTTTCTTAATTCTGTCTTTTTATTTTCATTCTCCCTTTCAGGAGCTTGGACCCCGCAGAATTCTAATTTGGCGATTGTTTCACCATTGCCACTCATTTTGCTGACTTTCCTGTCCCTATGTCCCTTACCCAAAATAAGCAAACAGAAAATAAAGCAGAAACTAGTTTGTGTGTTCTCCAGCCACTACACTTAGAACTCACTTAAAATCAACATTAGCAGTTCAGGGCAACAAGCTGTGCAAAAGATCCTGCTTGGCTATGCCACTGTGATGGGTTTGGTCATGGAGACCCCCTTGAGACTGTCTCTTGATTTCTCTATCTGAGCATCCGGCTGAGCCAGATTCTCTGGTCTCCTCCAGTGATGGCACAGATTTCCTATCACAGCCCACAGCAGAGCAACACAATCATTGAAATCAGCTCAGCTCTGGGAAGGCTCAGTGACAGGGACTTGACACAGCAGCCAGGTGCACAACACCAATGGGTTGCAACGTCACAGACGCACACACAGTATAATTTTTAAATGCATTGGATAATGAGCAGAAGATTTAGGTTTTTCTGACTGTCACTGACTTACTGCAGGACCTTCTGGCCAGTTTGCTACTTTTCTGAGCATCACTTGTGTCTTATCCCTCCCAACTATAAAATGGGAATACTAGTACCCTCATGCAAAAGTCTTGTGTAAAGCCCACTGAAATGCTTGGGTGTTTTGGGTAGTGTGGCAGGGTATACTAGACTTTCTGAAGCCCCCACCCTGGAGACTTCACAGTCCTACCACACCTTGCCTCAGGACAGGAGCAGTGAAGGTGGGTCCTCCAGGCCTGCCTAGAAAGGTTGTAGGGAAGCAAACAATCAGAGCCCAACAGGCTCAGTTAATATGAGCTCCAGATCAATCACTGGCGAGGACCAGAAGGGTAAGGAAAGGCTAGAAGGTTGTAAAACTCTTCAGAGAAGGAGGCCTGGGAGAGATGTTGCTCAAGCAGGTATAAGGCAGAGAGAAACCAAAGACTGTAACACTAAGGTAACAGGTGAAGGTGATGAGACTGAGTGGGAGGTAGCCCAGGGAATGCAGCAGTAACTAGGAAAGCAGCACGTAGCAGCTGTTTATGGTGTGCTTGGGTTGGGACCCAGAATAGCAGGTGAGCAAGGGTCAACCTCCCTCCCCACCAACCAGTAGAGAAGTGGCCTTAACCCTGGAGACTCTTGACTAAAATCCCAAGACCGAAAGCTAGATTTAAAGGGGCCCTACTGGGACTGGAGAAAGAAGGAACCATCAAGAAGAATGGGCTGAGACCAGCTTCATCCAGAGAACTGTAAGACTTTTGTTTGCACTTGTTTTGGACTTGAATACCCCAGAATGGGTTAATGTATTTTATATTGTGTATGATTTGCCTGGAAACCTGCCTTGCGAGATCAGCAGCCTTTTGGAGGGTGACAGGTGAAACAGAAGATTGCAGCACCACACCAGGACAACAGGAGGCACTCATGACAGGCAAAAAATTACTCAACAAAAAACAAATAAAAGAATGTAACTGCAAATGAGAGTTTACCATTCCCTCTTTTGGTAGCAAAGGACGCTGGTCACCACTCCAAGCACAACAGCCACTGCCACTGGGATTAGAATGGCAATGATCAACCCCATGGCTAGGGTGGAAAAAAAGAAAAACAGTAAGTGATATTCAAAAGTGATCAACCGAGTTTATGGCTCACATTCTTTTCTAACATTCCCAAAAATTACAAGTTACTTTTCTAGATTACTAAAAGCTCCTCAAGCATTATCTGCCTATAATAATGACCTACAACACCTCCTTCTAGGGATGTTAAATACTGGTTAACTGAATAGTCGATTAACTTCATGAATTCTTATCGGTTACTTATCTATTATATAGTCCCCAGGGGCAGGGCTAGCAGCCAGTGTGCTCTGACCCCACTCCAGAGGAGTCCCATGCTTCTGTCTCTGTATCAGACCCTCTATATCCCAGATCCAGTGCAAGTTGGGACTGAGTCATGCTGCTGGCCAGCCTGCTAAAAAATTAACTGGTGGGCGTGGGGAAGGGAAATGTGTGTGGTCTATAGCATTAACCTATAAGCTTTTGCTTATTGGTTAAACAGCTACACTATTACTTGCTTACATCCTTCACTGAAAAAAACCCTCCCTTAATGTAGTTGGTCAATTGTAAAATGTTGTGTAGAATTTCTGTTTGGTCCCCAAATGGTACAAAGCTTCACATCCATGACAGTAAGACTGATTGCAGATTTTATCCCAGACTGCATAAGTCCTGGTGTTTATTGAATTATTTTTAAAATTATCAAATTATTTGTCTATTCTCTGGAAATGATTTCTAAAGGTTAATTTCATGTTCCACACGTGCATTCTCTTTTACCTAGTTTAGAATTTGTATTCCGATCACTGAGAATCCTCTCTCTAACAAACTGCCTATTTAGTTTTCTGGGTAGTCTCATTTCATGCACTTTAATCACACTCCCCTTTTGCTCCTCTTTCCAAACATAGTAAACCTCATTTTTCTATTTTTTCCCTCCTCAGATGGCTGGAGTAATTTTCAATGTTTTGAGAGGTTATGAGTAAGGCTACAATTTAGTCACTGGTATTTTTAGGAAAAGTCATGGACAGGTCACTGGCAGGAAACAAAAAATATTGGCTGTGACCTTTCCATGACTTATGCCATAAATACCCCAGATTGAATCTTTGGGAGAGGTTGTGGGTGAGGGAACAACACCAGCTGCAGGAGAGGGAGGGACTGTGATGGTGGGGGGAACCCTGAGGGAACCCACTGCTGCTCTAGATGTCACTGGTGGGGCGGGTATGTCCTGGGAACCTAACTGCAGCTCCAGTCGCTGCTGGAGAAGGGTAAACACTGGGGGATTTCCAATGCCACTCCAGCTGCCAACAGGGATAAGGGCCGTGACCCCTGCTGTTGGGAGCTACCAAATTGCGGCTGCTCCTATTGTCTCTGGTCCCCTAGGCCAGCTGCCAGGGGTGCCAGAGCAGTGGTTGGTGCAGCTGCTCTGGGGCAGCTCTAGCTCCCAAAGCCAGCTGCGTGGGTGGCCCCAGTGTCACACTGGCCATTGCATAAGTCATGGAAGTCACGGCATTCATGATTTCCACGACTAGCATCACAGACCCAAAGCCCTAGTTATGCGTTCAGAACCCATTCATACGTATGAATAGTGGAAGTTCCTAAACAAGCATTATTTAGGCTGAGCTTTGTATCTGTAACAGGATGGTTAATTTGCCTCCCCGCCCCCAAACTCTGCTATTTAAAAATATGGATAGTAGGTCTAGGGAAAGCTGAACAGGAAAAGATATTCAATGAATCAAAGATAAAGATCATGGTACTCCTTTGACTCAAGCATTGCCACGCTAGAAGTATTAGCATACAGGAAAGTTCAACTCACAGTTCTCCTTTGTCACCACATAAAGGTCTCTTGATGGGCCTAGTCCACCATCAGTATAGGCTCGTAAGTCCAGTCGGTAACTTGTTTTGCCTTGAAGATCAAGGATTCTCAAAGACTTTTTTGATAGGTCAGTAATATTCTTAACTGATAGCTCAGGAGATCCTGTGTTGTTTTGTTAAAAATAAGGAACATTCATCACATTAGAATATGTTCACAAAAAAACCCTCAGCATTCAAAAAACTCAAACTTCATATTAAACTGGAAAACAATCTTTTTCATTGAGAGAAGTCACGAGTACAGAATTATGCTGCCAAAAATCCAGGGCTGCATAGTGTAACTGTGTTAAGTAAGTAAGTAGCATAAGGGGTGCGTCTTCAGTTCAAAAGTAACTCTCATTACATTCACTTGAGTTACTCCTCTTAAGTCAGCCCAGCTTGAGAGAAAACAGCTATGCTATGAAGTAATACTCAAGCTGCTGCGTCCTCACTGATGCAGCACTGAGACTTCTGATGACATATCTTATCAGAGTGCTAAGAACTGGAGGATGAGTCACCTTATTAATTCCAGTGAATTGTGGGAGAATTTGTCTGCCACATAGGAAAGAACTGTGAGAAGGCCTTGGAAGATTTATACAACCGGATTTGCTCCAATCCCACTGACAGAGACAAACACCTACAGGATCTATATAGAGCATTCTTAAAACTGAAATACCCACCCGGAGAAGTGAAAAAAGATCGACAGAGCCAAAAGGTACCCAGACATGAACTACTTCAAGACAGGCCCAAAAGAGAAAACAGAATTCCACTTGTCATCACGTAGGGTGTGTCTAGACTACTTTTCGAAAAAAGTGGCCTTTTTTCGAAAAAAAACTTCCCCTGCGTCTAGAATGCCACCACATTCTTTAAAAATTAAATCAAAAGAACACGGTGGTTTTTTCGACCGCAGTAAACCTCATTTTACAAGGAAGAACACCTTTTTTCAAAAGTGCTCTTTCGAGAAAAGGCGTTCTTGAATGCAAACAGGGCTTTTTCGAAAGAGAGCATCCAGACTGCCTGGGTGCTCTCTTTCAAAAAAGCAGCTCGCTTTTTCAAAAGAAGTGGTTGCAGTCTAGATGCTCTCTTTTGAAAGAGGCTTGTAGTCTAGACATAGCCCAACAGTCCACAACTTAAACCCCTCCAACGCATTGTCAACAATCTACAACCTATCCTGGAAAATGACCCCTCGCTCTCAGAGGCCTTGGGAGAAAGGCCAATCCTTGCTTACAGACAGCCCCCAAACCTCAAACAAATTCTATCCAGTAACCACGCAACATACCTCCATCATAATCATCCAGGAACCCACCCCTGCAAACAGCCCCAGTGCCAACTGTGGCCACGCATCTACACAAGTGATTTCATCACTGGACACAACATCATCAGCCACTACATCGGGGCTCATTTAACTGCACATCCACTAATGTGATTTATGCCATCAATTGCCAGCAATTGCCCCACCTGCCATGTATATTGGTCAAACTGGACAACCTCTACGGGAAAGAATTAATGGACACAAATCAGATATCTGTAAAACCAATAAAGTTGGGGGCTAATTTAGCTACAATTAATCAGGAAAGAGATCTTGGAGTCATCGTGGATAGTTCTCTGAAGACGTCCATGCAGTGTGCAGCGGCAGTCAAAAAAGCAAACAGGCTGTTAGAAATCATTAAAATAGGGATAGAGAGTAAGATGGAGAATATCCTATTGCCCTTATATAAATCCATGGTACGCCCACATCTTGAATACTGCGTGCAGATGTGGTTTCTTCATCTCAAAAAAGATATACTGGTATTAAAAAAAGATTCAGAGAAGGGAAACTAAAATGATTAGGGGTTTGGAATGGGTTCCATATGAGGAAAAGATTAAAGGGACTGGGACTATTCAGCTTGGAAAAGACGAGACTAAGGGGGATATGACAGAAGTCTATAAAATCATGAGTGGTGTGGAGAAAGTGAATAAAGAAAAGTTATGTACTTGTTCCCATAATATAAGAACTAGGAGCCACCAAATGAAACTAATGGGAAGAAGATTTAAAACAAATAAAAGGAAGTTCTTCTTCACACAGCTCATAGTCAATCTGTGGAACTCCTTGCCTGAGGATATTGTGAAGGCTAGGACTATAACAGGGTTTAAAAGAGAACTAGATAAATTCATGGAGGTTAAGTCCACTAATGGCTATAAGCCAGTACGGGTATGGAATGGTGTCCCTAGCCTCTGTTTGTCAGGGTGGAGATGGATGGCAGGAGAGAGATCGTTTGATCATTACCTGTTCGAGTCACTCCCTCTGGGACACCTGGAATTGGCCACTGTCGGCAGACAGGGTACTGGGCTGGATGGACCTTCAGTCTGACCCAGTATGGCCATTTTTATGTTCTTAATTTACAAGTTTAATTCTTATGTGAATGGAATGAACAGAGATATCAGCTGGCTTGCACACTACTTTCCACATCCTAATGACTTAACCAAACAGCCACAAAATGGAAGTGCTAATTGTTCTTATCAGCCTCTTGTTATTACTTGAACCATCTACTCACTGTCTCTTTTTTTCCCTTCTCTCTCTTTTTCCCCTCCTCCCTCTTACGTTTCCTTATTTATTCTTGGATCGGGACTTCTAATACTCCAGTCATCTGAAGAAGTGGGTTTTGCCCACAAAAGCTCATGATACCACCTACTTATTTTGTTAGTCTTTAAGGTGCTACTAGACTATTTGTTGGTTTTTTTACATTTTTCCACGCCACAGTCATTGTGTTAGCAGATAACCAGTACTCCTATATCTTTCAGCCTATACTTCCTGATGGACAATCCAACTTGACTTCAAACACCACAATACTGCAGTTAAGGCCTGTTCATAATACCAACCTTGAGTTAAGTTTGCAGTGAAGAAAAGGGATTTTGGCAGACTAAACATTAATAAACTCTAAGCTGAAAATAAAGTGGTCATGAATTGAATTCCACCATATGCTGCAGATTACATATAATTACATTTCAGAACATTCCTGGAAAGTGAAATTAAAGTTTATAAGGTTATTTCATCTATCATTTGCACACCACCACAATTACCAGTTTTTGGAATGAACTGAATGAAAAGTTTCACACTGACAGGGAAAGAAACTGGTCTTCTTTATCCACAGATCAGCCATAACATCAGCCACTGTAATGCAGCATTATCCCAATTACACTGCCAATACACTTTCCACCCAGTTCTGGAGGGTTTGCTATTTTCACACTCTCTTTTCAGTCAGTGTTTTATTCAGAGATTGGATGTTCACTGTTACAGTGGCTTGTGTGAGGTGAATATGCTAGTCAATGAGAAATTACACTCAGATTACCTATTCTTGCCTATATGAGCAACTAGTATTTTAATCTCTTTGCCAATGCTTATACAGGCAGTCCCCGAGTTACATGGATCTGACTTACAAACTGGGTGAGGCAACCCCGCACTAGCTGCTTCCCCCCAGCAGACCAGGGAGACGCGGAGCGGCTTTTCTCAGCAGACACCTCAGCTTGAGAATAAAGGACTGAGGGAAGTGAGGTGTGGGAGAATAAAACTGAGCTCTGGAGAAATGTTTGGCTAGAGTTTCCCCTACAATATGTACCAGTTCCGACTTACATACAAATTCAACTTAAGAACAAACCTACAGTCCCTATCTTGTACGTAACCCGGGGACTGCCTGTACATAAGGCTTGTTTGTCAACCTGAGAGAGAATTTTGGGTTTGACTTTTTGGTACTCTTATATTTTGCTCTAATATGAGTGAACACAGGGAAAAGACACTGTGCATGTTGCTTCTGCCTAGCCAGATGGGCTTGTTAGTATGATGGGAACAGATAAGAGCAGTTAAAGTGTTACAGGGCATGGTGGGAGTTTAATATATGAGCATACACTAAAAGGCTGCCTGGCTCCTTTCTCAAGCCAAGTCAAGAAACCAGTTAAGAGGAACAAGAGGGGAATGGGGAGGGAGGCATAAGAAACACTAAAAGCTAAAGGAAAACATGGCCTTGGCCAGAACAAAACATCAGTCTCTCCCTTTCCTCATGGGACACAAAAAAACTGGGATAAAGACCCCAGACTTATGACTCTCCAAAATGGAACATGACTACAAGTTGTAAGAGGTATGACAAGGGGCATGTGCTGCAGGCATAGATGGGTTCGCTAAGGGGAAGAGAGGAATGGGAAACAGGGACACAGGCAATGGCTCTGCAGCAACACAGCTGGGAAGGGGTAAAGGCTCTGCAATGTCAGAGGACAGTAAAACACCAGGGAACAGACACTGCTGGCATGTAGAGCTATGGATACGCTTGCTTGGAATTAACCCAGACTTCTGGTCTTCTGCTTTCTGTCTGCATGACAGGAACTGGGGTGTGGTGGAGGGAGAGGAGTGAAGGGAAAGCCCTCTAACAAGACCAATTTAGCTTCCGAACAATGCCAGCAGAACTATAATTAAACAACTATTTTTTAAAGGATTATTTATTAGTGAGTACTGAGAGAGTTCACAGAAAAGTTGAGGACCATAGATTTTATTTACCTTTTTCCATAAAACTAGGCTTTGAAGTACCTTTCTCCCCTTTTGCAAAGCAAAGCATATATCCCTTTAAAAACCCCTGGCAGTCTTCAACAGGAATGTCTTCCCATTTTACTAAGATTGAATCTGAAGAGGTTTCTTCCACAGTAAAATTTGGTGCTACCTTTGGAGCTGTGGAAAGAATTTTAAAAAAGCAGTTAAACAATTAGAATACACTGGAATAAGACAAATCTATATTAGTATCACAGCATTATTATTAGGACTGACATGTTGATCACTGCACTGCAAATTTTCTAGATAATTTTTCCCTTTCAAAAGTTACAACTTAATAGAAATGGCTGTACCTTTGCTTTACTTGAAGACATTTTATTTAGCTGCAACAGAGCCTGTATTCTTCACTGAGAAGAAACTGTTCACGCAGTTTAAAAGTTCTGCTTTGTCCCAGGGTCACAAATCTCCATTGCAATACACAGGCTCTAGTGCAGGGATCACAGCAAGGCAAATTCCCTTAACGGGTCTTACCGGGAGGTTCAGGTTAAATTCGAAAAGCTAACTATTTCCTTGCAAAATAGGATTATATCACAATTTCTGTTTTGAAAAATACAACAATCAACTTAACCCAACTCGATTTTAAAGAGAGTTGTAAACGGTTGAAAACAAGAATAAACATATCATTTCATCTTCCATCACAGTATTAAGCACCACGCAATGGTCCCTACAAAGCATTACCGTGGCTCAGACTATGTGATTGAAATTTCCAATAAAATTAGTCCAAGCACCTGGCAAAAGATACCTTAATGTTCAAAATGAAATGGGTCATATTAGCTACACAATGCCTTTATTTATCCTTCATTCTCCTAGCTGTTCAGTATAAAGAGGAATTTGGACTTTCAGGAATAGAGAAAAAGGGAGTGGAGGGGTGGTCCTTAAATATCTAAGGTATTCCAAGTCAACACTAGATAAAAAAAACCAATAGCAGTAGCTACGGAAACTCTGGAATTGAAATTAAGGAGGTGATTTATACATTCATATTTTTAAAATATAGTTTTACTCAGAAACTGTTTTAGATAAAAAGAACATTATACCTATATAATGAATTCTAATTAAATACTAGAAGACTTACCCGGCATGGCCCGGGTTTGGCGCAGGGATGGGGGGCGGGCCATGTAGGCCTCTCACTAACACTCCCGGCTGGCCCGGTGATAAGGGGTTGGGGAGGCTACACAAATCATGTATCTTATTTCTATTCTATTTTGAAATAGCTTATTTTGAAATTTGGCACATCTACACAATGCCAAATTTCAAAATAACACACGTTTTCAAGACATCCCTTAATCCTTGTGGAACAAGGGTTACAGGGATGCCAAAACAGCATGCCCGTTATTTTCAAAATATTTCAAAATAACAGGCAGCTTGTTAAGATGCAGGGTAGCTATTCTGGGATACCTCTGGTATCCCGAAATAGCCATGCAGTATAGACATATCCTTATCTGGGCTAGTGGCCAGCAATATGTCCCCAGTCCCCAGCTGGCCACACCCATCCTGGTGTGACTGCCCTCAGTGGTCCCTCTGCAATATAATGTCCCTTCTCTCTGCACCCCCCCATTTCTATTTTATGGAAAACAATTGAATTCCAGGCACATCCCATTTTCCTGGCACAACCAAACCCTGATCTTGCTTTAAGTTAGGTTAAGAGGAAGCTGCATACTAAATCTGGTGGTCCTAGCTGGTACCTTTTAGCAGGAACTCTTGAACAAACGGACTCACAGACCGATGTAGAATCTCTAATATATATTTTGAAATATATATTTTACATGCAAAGAAAATGAGTGCCATGAACTCACTTCGGCTTTAACAGTCAGAGTAGTGTAAATAACTTATTTTTCAGTTCAGTAGTCAAATACCAGGTAAATCTTAACTGTTTTGCATCAAACCAGAGACAATATTATTTAATGTTCCGCTGACCCAAAGTAGTAAAGAAAATGTACATTTCAGGTTGAAAATATATTTTTATTTGAGTGAAAACAAACAAAAAAATAGGTAAAATTTCTTCAAAATTGGACTAAAAACATATTAGAACAAAAAGAAGCTATGCTTTTTAGAAAAAAATCATTGAGATATTGTAGAAAAACACTGAGGTGAAACGTATTTAATTTTTCCAGAACTTTCTTTGGTTTTGTTTTCCAACCAAAATTATGTAGAGACTTCAACCTGAATTCACAAACCATTTCTGTCAACTTGAAACTAATTCTTTGGGAGAAAAGTTTTGCTGTCATTTATTTTTGCCCAGATTTAGTCAGGATTCATTTCACACTGGAGAAGGCCCATAAAAATGATTCATTGGAATCCAAATTATACTTCAGCTTTACCTGCACAACCACAACTTCTCAGTGTCCCCTCTGTAACCTGATTTGCTCTAAATGGGCCTGAACAGATGTCAAACAACATAATCTGAAGACAATGAAGTTACAGGAGCACAATAAAGCCAATGTATTTGGATGCAGAACCTCTACTGTTGATCACATTTATTACAGAAGTTAGTAAGAGGAGGAAGATTGAACTTCAGCTAACTATATATTTTAGAAATGTGTGTCTGTCTCTATGCTCATCCATGAATCCACTTGTTCAAGAACTCCTAAATCTTAAGAGCTAGGACCATCACTCTTGGTATGCAACTTTTTCTTATCACAACTTAAAGCAAGATAAGGGTTTGTTTGTGCCCATGAATGACCACAAAGGAGAAGCAAGGGAGCTGAGATGGGGACTGGGACAGCTATAATTCCATTGGTCCAGCAGTGAGTAGGAGCAGAGAAAGAGACAGCTATTTACTATATTTTTCAGAGAGTTTGTCTGTCCCACAGTCAGGAGACAGGCACCCCTTCCCCAGAAGGCACTTCTAACCTGGCCCCAACTTGCTACAGTGAGAGAGGGCTGGTGTTGCCAACTCTCCCAGGGCAGCCTGCATACTGAATCACTCATCCCCAGGCCCACCCCAAAACAATTATTTAAATGAAGAAAAACAAAAAAATTATTTGGGTTAAGGCCCCAAGCAACGCCAGGTCAATCTTCTAGTATTGCCATATACACAAAAGTTTTAGGGCTGAATCCCCATTTTAAATTCTGTATCCACTTTCACATTAAATATTGCAATAATTTTAATCTGACTTTCAGACAACAGAGTAAGAACCAGAGTAAGAATACAGACAGTGGAAATTCACTGAATTAGTCAATACATTAAAAATCTGTGTTACTGAACTCTACAGGCTGGTCGCACCAAAAGAGATAAAGAAAATATTCAGAAATACGGAGATTCTGCTCTCAGACTTTTCCTAACATATATAGTAAAGACTAGTACAGGTTAGTCATTGACCCTCTCATGTTTCTAAACGATAACAATAAAATGCACTTACGCAATTCTTTCATATATCCAGTTATATTCTGTAATAACTGATATCCATTATGTTTGCAGCCATATAGTGAAAAATTGTATCGCACACCAGGTTGAAACACATCTGCAAAACAACAGCACAGGTAAGCAAAATCTTTTTTAGCAAGAGTTATATTTTAACTTTTACATGCATATTTTGATACAAAAACATTTAAAGTAACAGCACAAATAATTAAACCAGCAGGGGTCTGTGTACGGGGCCACAAATAGATTTAGGGGGTCTGCCACTCCTGATGCCCTGGTGTCTGGGGCTGAGGCTGAATATGGAAACAGCAGAAAACTACTGTATTTTTGCATATAAAAGCCTGAGCAACTGACCTTCGTGAGTGGGGGGGAGGGGAGGGAGACACACAAACCAGTCCTACTTGTTACCAGACCTCGCTGGTAGAAAACCAGTTGTTGTGACACAGGTGGGCCTTGGAAAGAAAAAGTTTGAGAACCTCCAAATTAGACCATATGGTATTTACATATAAATATTTCCCCTATTTAATCCTTATAATATTTATACACAATAGGATGTGCCATTAGACACACAGTTCAGAGTCAGTAAATAATTTTGACCCTTCAAAGAAATCTAAAAAAAAAGTCTTAAAAAATGTCATTAAGAAAATGTAAGAAGCAGTACAGATTGATGCTTTCTATTCTGAATCACATACTTGTAAACCAGCTCCCCTCGAGAACCAGCTCCTGACTGCCTCCCCACGCTGCTGCATCTGTGACTGAGACAGCAGTGCAGGGTGCTCTCCAGGAGTGGGGCTGTGAGAGCACTGACTGCCGTCTCCGTCCCTGGGGGGAGCATTTTAGTAACCGTGTAACTGCTAAGAATTGTTGCAGTTACACGATTACAAAAATAAATGATTTCTAACATCCCTGGTATTAAGAGAAGTGCCATCAGTCACAAGTAAGAAATGTCTCGCTCTACTTTGCATGTGACCTCAGCTGGAGTACCGAGTTCAATTCTTGGTGCCACATTTTAGGAAAGAAGTGAACAAACTGGAGAGAGTCCAGAGGAGAACAAAAAATTAATAAACAACATGTTTAGAAAACCTGACCTATGAGGAAAGGTCAAAAAATGGCCATGCTTAGTCTTGAAAAAAAAAAAGATGAATGATTGCGGACCAGATAAGATTTTTCACAACTTATTAAAGGGTGTTATAAAGAGGTTATAAGAGCTCTTCATTTCTACTGAAGGTAGGAAAGACATAATGGGCTTAATTTGCAGCAAGAGAGGTTTAGGTGAGATAAGAAGATTATCCCATTGGGGATAAAAAGGGTTAATCGGTTACCCAGTAAGCATTAGCCATAGTGGCATGCTTACCAGGTAAACAGTTAACTGGCAGGGTGGGGAGAGCAGCCCCGCACCTGTGGTGGGGTATGCTGGGACCAGAGCCCAGTTAAGTGGTTAAACTATTGCAATGAAATCGTTTCACCGGTTAAATTTTCCTGCATATTTATTTTCCTAATCCCCATCACTGGAGGCTTTTAAGAACAGGTTGCATAAACAAAAGACTCTGAAGTCCTCTAAAGTGCTACATACCCTCCACACACTGTGAAATTGCAGGAGATGCTCTGAGGTAACCTTAGGGCAATCACATTTAGCATACAATTTGATGCACATTGATAGATCCATATGAATGCTGGGAATGTCCATGCCATCATTTGGGCTCCAGACAAGTGCAGGTGTCTGACAACAATAATGTCATTGTAGTTTTGAGGCTCCTGGTGACTAAGTCTTAAATGACAGTTCTAGAACAGTGGTCACCAACCTGTAGATCGGGTCTACGTGTAGACCTTGGAGCCTTTGACAGGTGATCCTGACTGGTTTGGCCAGAAGGCTGTCAAGTGCCGGCACTTCATCTGCCACTCTCAGCACTGCCGTGCTGGTCCTGCGCTATGCCTTGGAGGTGCCCCTCACCCCTGGGAGTCTCCTGCTTGCTGTGCAGGGCATGGGAAGAAGAGGAAGGGGAGGTGCTGATGTCAGGGTGCCCCTCCCTCCACCCTGTACCACATCTTCACAGAGCAGAGGGGGGCAGGTATGGAGAGAGTTTGCTGGCTGCTTTAGGGAGTAGTGCAAAGCCGGAGGAGGGGTGAGCCTGCCTTAGCCCCCTGCGCCCCCACCTAGAAGCCACTTGTGGTAAGTGGTGCCCAGCTGGAGCCCGTATCCAAACCCTGCCCCAATCCTGAATCCCTTCTGCACCCCAAACCCCTGCCGCTAGCCTGATAAAAGTGAATGAGGATTGGGGAGGGAGGATGGAGTGAGCAGGGGCAGGGCGTTGGAGAAGAGGCGGGAAGGAGTCAGGACAAGGACGTTGGGGTTTGAGGCAGATCTTGGATTGCACTTAAATTCAAAAAGTGATCTCATGCTTAAAAAGGTTGGAGATCACTGCTCTAGAAGGTACATTTATATTTAATGTATTATGTTCTAGTCTTTGTAGCGA